ATCTCTATGATCGTTTAAATGGCCATCGATTGACGCAGCAAACAAGTTTGGAGTAATTCGAAAAAAAACCAGTTGTCTGTCTAGTATTCACCGAAAAGCGCTATTGAACTCTCACGAAAACTTCGCATTTACCCAGCATTCTTGAATATTATGTTGCGATCATGACCTCATGACGTTATATTAAAACATAGCAAGTGGTATATTCTCAGATAAAAACGCAGTTTTTGTTAAACATTTTGCTATGAAGTTGTAATAGTTGTACCTTGAATTGTTTTGGAGTATGAGTTTCAATGGAAATTGAAGAAAAGAAGTTGATGCAACAACATTATTTACGACCAAATGTCTTCGAATGCACCAAGCAGGCAAACAGATTGACCAGTTCTTGAAGAGTTATGTATTGTATCATCTTAATTCTAGCACCTCTGGCTAACTTGTAAGAACTATGCGTGCAAAAAAATTGAAATGTATTGACTCTTTCTTCAATTCCTTTATAATTATCTCTGGACTATTGACGTCTTTTTCATCCCAACTTCAAAATCAAAAACTTTGCTCATCACGAACTTGTTATGTGCTTGGTTGTACCTGTTTATGGTGTTTCTTCTTCTGTAGTGAGAGGTGATCGAAGTGATTTACTGCGAAACTTTGTGCATTTTCTTTTGTTTTTGTTTATCACTTAGAAAACCGCCAATTTCAGACGGAATTCGTTGTCGGACACACTGGTCATGGATGTCAACAGGTGGTTTACGATCTCAAGAATAGAGTTTCGATTGCCTACGTGAGCAATGGTCTAAAAACAGGTCTCTACAATTTATGCAGGACGTACAGTCGTCTACAAAACGCTGTATACGATGTTGTCGAGTCGCGTTTGAGCGAACCAAAAACCTTCAGTAGTTAGCAATTTTGCAAACTATGTATAATCTTGTATAATTTAGTAGTGACTATAATTGTATATGCAATCTTCATAGATACACGATTAGTAATTTCTGTGAATCTTGCCTATAAACAGTCTCGACTTATTCGCGTGATTTCAACTGTACAATTGCTCCTAGCCTTGACGAAGCCAAATATGTACTGCATGAAAATTTCTTCGGTTTTAGCTCAAAAGAAAACTCTCAAATAAATATTTTCCAGCTTTTGTACAGTAGCTCTGCGTAGAGCACCAGTCCGATAGAGCGCATTCATCATTCAGCAAAATGCCTTAGTACATTCGCGAAAATTTTAATTTCGTTGAGGAAACCTCTTCGAAACAATCTGTGAGAGTAAAGGAACTTCTTACTGTAATCTTAATTTAGTTGTAATTTTGCACTAAAAGGTGTAGGCGAAGATAATATACTTGACTTAAGAAGGGGCGCAAATGTGTCGAAAAGCGCAGATAGCACGTTTGATATAGGCAAAATGAATTTTCTTTTTTATAAATAAATGCAATGTAGCAAAATTAAAGTATGCATATGTACTATGTGTAGCCAATTGCAAAATATGTGGAATATGTCGCACAAGATAGCTATGAATATAAATCCAATTCTTTTGTCTAA